CCCCCTCCCCGAGTGCTAAGCAAAGAGCATAAAGGAAAGACTGAGGATCAAAGTCTTTCTTCATGGGCAGAAAAAATATATCAAATCACAGGTCTTCCATGGGTAAAGATTCAATATGAATACGAATAGAAGAAAATCGCAAGAGCTAATCTGTTCTTACTCTGGCTAGAAATAAAAATCATGCTCTCTATATTATTTTTGTTGAAACTAAAATTTAGAGTTTTAACTGTTGATGCTGTGGAGATTCATAACAATAGGTGTTTTTGACAGTAGACGTGATCAGTCATTATACAATCTTAACATATAGGCATTAGCTATGTCTCTCCAACATGTGAGCTTGTCAGATTTCATAAACTAGCAGACTGAACTTGGTCAGTGCTTGGATGGGAGGCCTCTAGGAAAAACAAAGAAATCATGTTTGTAATTTAGTTGATGGCACTCTTCTTTGAATCAGAATTGAACCAGTGGTCCAGCGTGATTCACGAGGGCAGTGTTGGGAGCAGACTGTGCTGCTGGAAATGCTGCTTTTCAGATGACATATAAAACCAAAATCTTGACCGCTTCTTGTTAAGCGTCCTGTAGTACGTTTCACAAGAGTAGGGACAGCTGCTCTGATATTGCTCTATTTCCAATGTAAATAACAGTTGCATTCTATCTATTTAAGGTTTTGTCACTTTCATTGGATAAAGTATTTTCTTCATTTCCTATCCTTGATTTATTGTCTTGGTAGAGTGAAATGGCTCCTATATGTGATTTGTAATTCTGTGATAAGATCAGGTGCTTCTGTGCAATGTAACATAAATAATTTGGTGAATAATGATGAGTGATTATGTATAATCACACCCCCAACCCATTTCAACACCATTGTTGACTTTATATTACCAGTGCCATTGGAATAGTTGGTTTTCAGATGTTATGTGTGTTTTTCCAGTGCAAGGATTAAAATTTATATTACAGCCAAAATGTTCAAATCCTGGTATCCTAAATCGATAGTGTCTCACCTAAAAAAAAAAAAAAAAAAAAAAGTCCTAATGTTTACATATGAGAAATCCAAATACTGTACCCTCCTTTAGACATTTTTGAAAATTTTTGTTTTTACTTCTAAAGAGAAGAGGGCCTTATTCTCTTCACATGATTGACTCTTTACCATGTTCTGCAGTACAAAAGGAGCCTTAGTGTAAATGTGTTAGTTTTGTTTATGTATCTCAATTTGCAATACTGTACTATTTTTTTTCAAACGCTACAAACACAACAATATCTACACACACAGTAATAAGTTATACTTCTTTTACATGGGAGTTAAAGGCCACTGCTTTTTAAGTGCTTTTGAATGAAAGAAGAAATCTCCTTACTTAACATGCCAACTTCTTGACTGTTTCGTTCTTTGAAATGGCAACAAGGAGGCTTTTCGTACACTGTGTTTTCCAATTCTGTTTAAATGAGTAGATCTGTTTAATGAACAATTTCACCTACCTTATTTTTCTTACATTTGTTTGTGAAGTCCATATATTTCTCACAGTAAGGTTTGAATGTCCAAAAAGTCCAGAAACCCTAAATGATCTTTTTCCTTAAAGAATGACCCCCTGACAATGGCACCAACTCTAACTGAGCAGTGAGTGTTTGCATAAGATAAATATATAAAGAGATATAAAGATAAGAGGTTTCTGCTGAGTATTTCAGCTGTTATTTGTAACAGTGAATAGAATGAATTGAAAACTACATTTTGAGGAAATTTACAATAAGAATTAAAGGTAAACTTTGCCACTGCACATTGAGAAACCAATTTCTTGGTAGCATTGCTGTATCCTTTTAGAAAATTGGATAGGTTGCAGCATCAGCACCAGAAAGTGGATTCCATTGTATCACAAACATATTTCTTGTAGACTACCCTATAGTTCAGTTGGTTAGTTTAAAATGCTTTTCTTAAGACTATTGTTAGGAGACTGAATGTGAATGAGACACAGATGAAAACCTTTTATATTACTGTGACAACTTTCCTTGTGCAGAGTGAGGTTAGAAATATAACTGCAAAGGTGGTGTAGATACAAGTTTCTGTAACTACTAATGAGGGGGTTTTATTCTGAACTTGACAGAATTTTTTCATAACAGTTATCATGAAATATTTATTACCAGGATTTGTGGCTTAGTTTTATTTTTAATATTATAATTTAATGGGGTTTTATCAAACATCTGACTTCAGGGGAACTTTAATGTTAATCCTATTGAACCATAAATCTCTCTCTCTTCCAGTGGGAAAGACAAGACTATTACCATAAATAGTAATAAAAACTCCTATAAGCATAAGTCCCAAACCTGCAAAGACTTATGCACGTGCTTATCAGAGAAGGGGTGAAACCCTGGTTCCATCCACTATGGGTTTCCCATTGGTTTTAATGGAGCCATGATTGTATGCTGGCAATAATCCCAATTATTTTTCTGAGACTACTGCTAAGGCTTGGTCAAATACTACTACTGAGACTTGACCAGTGATATCAAATGGGAGTTTTGCAATTAAGTGTATGAAGTTAAGTACATGTTGTAGGTTCGACTTCCCTTGCAAACTTCAAAAGGCCAAATATGCCATTAAATATTGACTGATTTCTCTGAGCGCCCCAACAGCCCTATTCCTGGCTCCTTCCCTACTTCCTGACAAGGAACAGGTAAGCATTTTTTTTTAAAGAAGGGCATTAAACATCGTCAGTAATAACTGCTTTTTATAAATTTTGGGGGGGTTGAGTTCAGTATTTTCCATAGCTTAACCAGAAATCAGTGACTCAGAAACAGAGGAGCAGGGAGTCAGCAGCATATGACTATCTTGTGAGAGGCAATAATATTTTGACCGTTTTAGGAAAAGGCTGTTCGGCTGCAGCCACTGACTCTCTGTGGTGGTCAAATAGTATGACAGCAGTACTGGAGTTAGGCTGTGTTTCAGACCTATGTCTGCAGTCTGGCACAGGACTTAGGTTTTACAGACAATCTGAAGGTTATCTCATGGATTATTTTGCAATGGCTGCTTCCCCTCCCCAGAGTAAAAATATCTACTGTATGGAGAAAAATTTCTTCTCTCATTTAAAATACCTCAAATGTAACAGTTTTAAGTTACTTAATAAAGTTCACTGAGTTAGTCTTAATGCATTTTTTTCACTGAAAAGAACACTTGTAGTTTAATAGAAAGTGTTCTGTGTACTTGGCTTTTAGAGTATTTGTGCTCTTGAGCCTTTGAGATTCCCAGGTATCAATTGTCTAATGAAACTTGCAGTAGGAGTCAAAGAATTTCATTTCTCCGTGTATGCTGCTTAATATATTTTTACCATGATGCAGATTTTAGTAGCCTGTTTGTTCAAAAATGATTGTGAACTTACCTTTATGAAAAATCAAAGTTTGAAAATAAAGGCTGTGGCTATTGTTGTTCTTCTCCTGGCAAAATGCCATGCACATTTTTCATCATATTGCAGGGATCTTGCATATGAAATTACAATTTTCTGGAAAGTGCAATTTCACCTTTCTTTTTCTTAAAGATAAATTGATCCACATTGCACTCCTGAACATGAGGGTGTTTGTGTGTGTTCATCATTTTGTGCTGGGATAAAATGCATAAGAAGGAATTCTTTATTTGAAAAAACTAGAGACAAGGCAGAGGCAAACTAGAGACTGGCTAAATATTTCAATGTTGGCATTCAATGCTCAAAGACTTATTTTTAGCCAATTGGATCACACATGTAGGTGTGTAGATATATAGCGTGTGTGTTAGTATGTGTACCGGCTAAGTATTTTTTTAAATGATGTAGTTGACTTCCATTTGTTCAAGTCAATGGCAAAACTCCCAGATTATCTGTTCATCTATGCTCTTGTTGAATTTAAATTACAATAATATTCAAGAAAGTGTTAAAGAAATAAAAAAAGAATCTTAATATTGGCCCCATGGCTGATTCTTTTGACAAAAGACTGATGAGTTTTGAATCTCATTCTTCATCCTGGTGCCAGCTAATTATTCAACATTTGGGATATTTGTGCTCAGTACTTCATTTTTTTTCTCTGCCTGAAAGTTCTAACAGTACGTTATGAACAGTCTGTTGAGTACTTTTATGAGCTAATAAACCTCCTGCCTGATTCTGTTCTGACTGATGGTGAAGTCCTCTGTCTGGAACAAGGTAAATTCAAACATCCCATCTAATGACCTTGACTTAGGATATGCAAAAATGCAGAATATAATAAATAAAACTGAAGGAGCTTCATAAAAGTGCAAACTGAGGTCAGAATGTGTGATATACAGTAATAATGATGGAATTCTGGCCCCATTAAATTAAATGATAAAATTCCCATTGACTTCTTTGGAGTTAGGATTTAACCCATGGTTTATATTTATAAAAAATACATGTTCTGTTGATAAATATCATTATTGGGAACCTATTGTAGCACATTTCATTAAGAATATCCTTGAAATAATCACCTGCACTGTTACATTTCATTTGCTAATAATGATACAGAAAGACCGTAGGGTATTTATTCAGTTCCAAATCATAAATAATAATTCTTTCTGACAGCAAAGTTACTTTACAATTTCAGAGCTAGGCATGCTTGTAAAAAAACCAATGCAATGAAGGCTTTCTGTTTAATTAGTCCATTACAGGTATCTGTTAATGCCCTGAACTGCTTTTGGCATTGTTTTTATTTTTTTTAATCATGTTTTCATCTTCATGGTGTTTTCATTTGCACAGAGTTGGCCATTTTCCAAGACATTTTATAGCCACTTGCTCTAGTATAAATAATTATCTTTTCATGTTTAAATACATGACATATTTCCTGACTTTGAATCCTAGTCTTGAGTACGTGTACATCAGAGGAATCCAAGGTAAAAAGAAAGTATTTTTCTTTTAGTTTGTACTACTTTGTACTTAGAATACATAGAGACACTTAGATGTACCAAAACTATTGATATAATTAAAGTACACTAGACTATTAAAATTGTTTTTAAACTCCTCCTTATTTTTTATCCTCAGATGCAGACCGACATTGTGAAATAGTTGGAAGTCCTCTGAAGATCAAAAGTACTAGAAAACCACTGTCCTGTATCATTGGGTATTTAGGTGGGTATTTTCTGTTTGAGGGAAGTGAGTAAAAGTGAGATGTCAATATTTTAACAATATTTTAAAATCCCACTCACAAACAAAGGGAGCTCATAATAGCATGGCAGTAGAATGAATAAGAAAATACATTATTAAAAGCTCAGATTTGCAATTGTAATCTGTTATTCAGTTGCATGGTAGAATGGATTGCATTTGCCAGATTACTTTTCACCTACTAACCAGTGCTATTTGTACACTACTGTATAAAGGCATTCTGACTAAATATTGCAATCTAATTTTTTTTAAATAATTTTTGCCTTGGTCATGAAATTTTCCAAAGTATTCAATGTTGGTGTAAAAAAGGATCATAGGCCAATTCTGAGCCACTTTTTGAAATTCCATTTTAAGATGTTATCAATTTTTTCTAACTACCCGCTTGCTTAGAAAGATGTGATGTGTTCTAGAATGAAAACAGGAAAGAGACTATATCAGCATGCTATGATATATTTAGATCAGAGCTCCTTGGGGGGAAAAAAGTAGAAGAAAAGGGTACACAAGAGAAGGGGATAAAGGAGATTCCAGTATTTTTAGTTCAGTATTAATAAATCAAAACTAATCTTCAAAAGGGGCCACCGATGGTAATTAAATATTTATGCATTCACTTCAGAGATAGGGAAAGCCCTGTGAGCTATACTGTTCCATAAATGAATAAAGACACTGATCCAATTCTTAGAGGAGCTAAGAAGCAAAGGTAAGCATGAAGAATAATAACTCAGAGCAACAGAGAGTGATTCAATTATTACCCCAGTGTAAATCTGGATGAATGCTATGAAGCCAGTGGTGTTTCTCTCAATTTACACGGGTGTAACTGACAGCAGAAACCAACCCACAGTATTCACTGAAATTCCCATTGAAATCAATATATAGAAAGGCAGAATAAATAATAAAAGTCTCAGGATTTTCCCCAATTTTAATAAATTGATGTCTAAAACTGACAAATAGGAATTGTTATAACAATCCATTTGTTGAAAAGGCCTCTGCTGGGTCTTGGTCACATGTTATTTATTAACTTGGACATCTTTTCATCTCAAAAGTCCCAAAACATATATTCTTGCCCTTTAGTAGTGACCTTGTGCTTATGAAGGAAAAACACAGCTGCTAGTACCCCTAAAAAGCTGCAAATTCAACAATAAAAAGTCTAGTTTCTTACACAGCATTTAATTATCTGAGCCAATGTGGGGAAGCAGAGGATGGCATAGTCCCATGAAATGTTATCTTGCCTGAAAGTGGGCCTGCAGGGTGAACATACTGAAGTTTTTATGAAAAGATTAATAACAATATTTTCTTTGTTTCATTTTTGCTAATTTGTTTGTTTCGATTACAAATCTGAACAGTACAATAAATGAAATACCTCCACAAAAAGTGGCTAGTAGGTTGCTTTTAGTGTTGCTTACTGTGCATAATTAAATAAAATAAAGTTTGACGTTATACTAGGGTGGGTAAATACAGGCCCGTGGGCTGGATATGATCTACCAGGAGTAGCCTCTGGCAGGTCCCACATCTGTATTTGCTTGCAACTCCACAAGTGCGGGTGATCACAGCTCTCATTGGCTGCAGATCACTGTTACCAGCCAATGGAAGCTGCGGGAAATGGTGTCCCGGTCCACGCTGCTTCCAGCTGCTACCATTGGCCAGGAACAGAGATCCATGGCCAACAGAACCTGCGATCACACTTACCTGCAGATGTGCAGGTAAATATGATAGTGGCAGCCCACCAGAAGCATAACCACCACCATTTTATTACCCATCCCTGCCTTATACAATCTGTAGGTTATTGTGTTTTGCTTCTAAAATTCATCATCCCATATCATGTGTTAGAGATCTGCTTGAGAAAAAGGCTTGCTTTTTAATTTTTCATACCATTCCGTCAAATATTTGTTAGAATACATTTAGTTATACCTCATAGGAGATCATTTTTTCTCTTCATTCTTTGAGAGAATGTCAAAAGGGCTGTTGTCTATCCGCTCATTCTGAATCATGTCATTGAGTTTATAAGCACAGCAGGACTAAGCATTAAAAACAGGCCCCCTCCTTGGAGAAATTAGGATTATTTCCTGTGCAATCAATTTAGACTCCCCTGTGTGTAGGAAACAAAAACCCTGAAGTGAATGATGCTTACCTGAGGAACTTTAATTGCTATTTAATCCATTGCTGCTCTTCAACTTAGCAGACCTAGGTCAACATTTTCTTCTATGATGGCTGAGAAGAAATGAGTTAGAGGGGCAGGTACTCACTACCTCTGAAAATTAGGCCACCTATTTAGATTCCTAATTTGAGTCAATTTAAAACTTGCTGTCCTTCATTTATTTTCAGTTTTGGTATTTTGATTGCTTTAGTGGTGTTACTTGAGCTAGTAAGTAGGATTGTAATTCACTATAGCCCAGATCCTTATTGTTATTAGGCATTTAACTGTCACTGAAGTAAATGGCAAGTAGGCATCCTAAATACTTTTGAGGATTTGAACCTATATGTTTGTAAGTGGCTTGCATAATATCCAAACAGGCTGGCTTCAAGGCATTAGCACAGTATAAATGTTGATAATAGTATGTGCCTGAAGTATTAGTTTGCCTTACTGTTTTCATTTTGGGTGTGTCTAGACTACAGGGTTTTGTCGACAAAACTATACCTGCATCTACACTACCGCCAAGTTCTGTTGACAGTAAGTCGACAGAATGCAGCAGTTTTGTCGACGGTGGTAAACCTCATTCTACGAGGAATAACGCCTTTGTTGACAGAGTTCTGTTGACAAAAGGTAAGTGTGGACACAGGGAAGAATTTATGTCGACATTAAAGGCCTCCAAGAAGAAGCCCTGGTGGACGCTCCTGCCACAGCTTTCAACTCTTATCATCCCTGCCTGCAACCATCTTTAAAAGGGAAAGGCACCCAGAATCAGCATTCTGGCAGCAAGCCACTTCCAGCCAGGACCCTGATTGTGCAGCTCTTCCCGGTAGGGACAGTCGGGACACATGTCCCAGAGACAAGCCCCTCAAGAACCCCCTGACTCCCTCCAGGGACACAGCCCCGCAGGAAGCCAGGGACACCAAATACTGGGCACCCTCCTGGTCTGGACCTGAGATCAAAGCCCTCTTGGGGCTCTGGGCTAAGGAGGAGTCCCTCCAGGCCATGCAGTCCAGCAGGAGGAAGAATGTGGACATTTATGCCTGAATGGCAGAAGGCCTGGCTAAAAAAGGTCACCACCATCGCACACTGGAGCAGGTCAGGGCAAAGGTGAAGGAACTGAGGCAGGGATACATCAGGACCCGTGAGCGGCAGCTCCCACTCCGGGGAAACAGAACACTATTGTGCCTACCATGAGGAACTGGACCAGATCCTGGGGGCAGGGGAACCCTTGAGCAGCTTGTGGAGTCTGGGTTGGAGACTTCTGTTCAGCAGCGGCCGCAACTCCAGGCAGATGACCAAGAGCTCCAAGAGGAGGAGGAGAAGGAGGAGGAAGACAGCACTAGGAGCACCCAAGAGCCAGACACCCAAACTCAGGAGGCCTTCCAGACAACTTCGGACACTAGAGAGGGAACATCAGGTGAGTGCTGTGAGGGTCCAACACTCACAGGGCACAGCAGGCGGGAGGAAAGTGGATGGTGCAGTGTTGTGACATGTCATGCTGATCACATCCTGGGAGGGGGGTCACACCCATGGCCGCTCTCAGGAAGGGTTTTCCTACCTCTGCACCTGAATGGCTTTGAGGCACCACCTACTCTTGCGGGCAGTTTTGCCAGGTGCAGGCATGGGTTGGGGACACTGGAATTGCCTCACAGCTGCAGGCTTCTCAGCACTCTGCGGGAACCCCAACCGTGGCCTGACACTTGTCTGTGCTGCTTGACTATGGGGGAGGTGTGGGGCGGGAGGGCAGGATGGTGGCCTAAACACCTTCTGGGCTCCAGGGAGGCTGTGGCTGCTGGCCAGGCCACACCATGACTTACTGAGACCCACATGAGCATCCTCTGACCCTAGGACAGGCACTGCCTGCTGAGAAGAAGGGCATGCCCTCTCAGGGAAAGTGTGAGCATGCATGACTGACGACTTTTCCCTCTTGTCCTCCACAGCTGGACCAGCTGACCAGGAGGGGGGAGTCACACCTGCCCCACCACCCAGACGGCTGCAGGGAACCCGTCGGCACTGGCGCATGTATTTGGAGCCAGTGCGCCAGCACATCTCGATCCTGCAAAGGATGCAGAACGCAATGAACCGCAGGATAGAGGCAGAATGGTGCAGGCGCTTGCTGGAGGAATTTGCCCAGCAGCGCACTGACATTTGCGCTGCAATCCAGGAGGTCATGTCCTTCCCCAGTCCTCTGCCTGGTCCTGCTCCTCCTGCTCAGCCTGCCCCCCCTTCAGCCCCTGCCCCCCCTCAGCCCCTGCCATCCCAGACTCAGCTACAGCCCCACCTCCTGCCCAGCCCCCTACCGTCCCAGCCCGCAGGAGTGCCCATCTCCGATCTGGCCTCCGCAGCCGAGGTGGCAGAGGCTCCTCATCCTAGGCGGCACCTTCAGCTGTGGGCCTCCCTCCCCCCTTCCAGGTTGACATCCCCTTTCCCCCCTGTGAAAGTCATTTAGGGGAGCACTTTATTTTGTTAACAAAAACCATTTATTTTTCAGAATACAAGCGTTTTATAGTTTTGTAACAAATCCACAGTGAAGTAAACTGTACACATTTTTTTTCAACAACAACACCTGTCTCTTTTTTCAATGTGATTGTGTGCAATGTGAATGTGGAGCCGGGAGGGGTTTTGGGGAGGAAGGCATTGGGGGCATGAGGCAATCCTACAGTTGGAAGGCCCTGGGGACAATCATCGGCCTCCTTGTGAGAACTGCTCCCGCAGGGCTTCTCGGATTTGCAATCCTGACTAGTGGGCTTGCCGGATGGCAGATGTCTGGGGCTGCTCAAAGTGCCTCCCCTCCACATCAGCCCGTGTCCCCCATGCAGGGAGGGAAGCCTCCCCTTTCCTTTCTACGAGGTTGTGCAGCACACAGCATGCAGCAACCACATTGGGGATGTTGCGTTCCCCCATGTCCAGCTGAGTGAGCAGGCATCTAACTCTCCCCTTCAGATGGCCAAAGGTGCACTCCACCTGGTAGCAAGCCCGATTCAGGCGGGAGTTAAAGAGTTCCCTGCTCACATCCAAGTGTCCTGTGAATGGCTTCATGAGCCAGGGTATAAGGGGCTATGCCGCATCTGCCACGATGCATATAGGCATCTGCACATCCCCTACTGCCAAGTTTCTGTCTGGTTTCAGCCTGCGGTGCAAGTACAAGTTCTGGAATATGTGGGCATCGTGTGCCTGGCCTGACCATCCGACACAAATGTCTGTGAATTGTCCCTGGTGGTTGACCAGGGCCTGCAGCACCATCGAAAAGTAGCCCTTTCTATTAATATACTAGGCTGCCCAGTGGGGTGGGGCACGGATGGGGATGTGCGTCCCGTCGAGTACTCCACCGCAGTTGGGAAAGCCTAGTGCTGTAAATCCAGCCACGATGGCATTCAGGTTTCTGCAGCAGACGGTCCTGTGAGGCAGCTTTGAATTGATGGCCATCACCACCTGCAGAAAGAGACAAATAGAAACACACAGAACAGGACATTAGAGGGGTTGGCTCAGCTGATGAAAGGTGCTCTCCCCCGGATCCTGAGAGCCCCCCTCAGGCAACCCCTCTCCTGCCCCTGCCCCACACACCATGGCAGGGTGAGGCCGAGAGGGCTTCTACCTCTGCCACCCCATCCCCAATTCCCTGTACCTGGTCCTGACTGCCCCCCTTAGCTGCCTGCCCCCACCCCCCTGGACTGTCCCCCGCGAGTGACTTACATCCATCAAGACGGCCCCAACAGTAGACCTCCCCACGCCAAACTGACATCCAACGGAGTGGTGGCTGGCTTCCACAGAGCAATAGCGATGCGCTTCTCTAGGGGGTTGGCAGGCTGCAAGCGGGTGTCCTGGTGTTGCAGGGCAGGGGCAAGCCAGGCACAACGCTTCTGGAAAGTGGACTTCTGCATCCGAAAGTTTCGGAGCCACTGGTCATCGTCCCACTCGTCATCATCCCACTGCTCCATAACAAGTTGGTCCCAGCAGTCTGAACTGGTGTCCAGCCTCAAAACTCACCTCTCCAGGAATAAGTTCACGGGCAAGGGCAGTAGTAGGGCTGCAGCCTGAGTGAAGGGCTCAAGGCTGGGCTCTGAATCCAGCTCTGCCACAAACATCATGATGCTCTCATGAAGCTGCAGCAGAGCTTCCAGCATCACAGTGTGGGGCCATCACCTGTCCAAGGGCAACTCAGGCTCCATGGCCAAAAACACAGTGCAAACCACAAAAACAAACCTGAAAATAAACTGCTGTGGTGTCCAAGGAAGCAGGGCAACCAAAGCAAAAACTGCAGCAGCTTTGCTTTCCCTCTAGGAGGTAGGCAAGCCAGAAGCAGGAGTAGAAAAATGGCTGTCCGGGAGGGTCCCTTTAAGCACGCGTCTCTGCAAAGAGCAAGGAGAAGCTCCAGGAACTTAAGGCTGCTCCTGTGACCTTCCAGAAGCACTTCCAGGTGCCTTCTTTTGTCGACAGTCAATTTTTCGATCCGCGTTATGTAGTCTAGATGCTCTTTGTCGACAGAGGCTTTGTCGACAGTATCTGTTGACAAAGCCTCTGTCGACAAAAGCCTGTAGCCTAGACATACCCTTAGATCTCTGAAATGGAAATTTACAACGAGTCATGCTTACTGGTTTTGTGTTGTACTGCTGTGCAGGTGACCTTAATGAGATCCTTAGGATGTGATCCAATATTGACTTCTCAGGCACTCTTAATTCTGGCATTTCCTAACTTTTGCATGCTTGCCTTTAGAACCTGAATAATGTTCTTTTCACATAGGCTTTGTTGTGTGTAATTCCCCGGGTTTTTAAAAAGGAAACTGGAAAAAACAGAAATGTATCATGTTGCATCATATTGGCACCCTCTCCTTCCTGTCTGGGTGCTTCAGAGGGAGTCATTGTGAGTATGGGAGAGAAAGCATCTGCCTGCTCTAAGTTCAGGTGCCATGCCTTAGTGCTCAGCTGTATTCGCAGGGAAAGTTCAGCAAAGCCCCAAGTAGGAGCCTGCTCATTGTGGACAGAAAAGGTTGAACTCTGAAAAGTCTTTGCTGAGCATGTGTGAACTGTAGTTTTTCAAAGGCTTATAACTTGGCCAAATGTGTGCAGACTTTCATAGGATAACAAAAGGAGCATTCCTGATACATAGCCATGCCTCCTCTCCCTTACGTTGACAAATGTTAAGACTCTGGGGGAAATAGAGCTTTTCAAAGAAAAGTTTAGCAGAATTAACATGGAGAAATTTAATTTTCTGTAGCTTTTCTCTCAGAACAACCGTTTTGGCTGAAATCTCGCTGATCCATCCCTCTTTGCGCCCCCCCCCCCCCCAAAAAAAACCTCCCCCAGCCTGCGGCAGACACATAGCAGGATTAGTCCAAATGGATTACAGTTTGGCAATTATAGTCAACTAAAAGTAAAATCTTATAGGAAATGTTGGGCAGCTTTAGTAATATGCGTTATTACTAGATCCAATTGTAATATAATATACACACCCAAACATACTATAAGGGTTTTAACTAAATAAATATTTTGTTTGTTTGCCCTAATGTGAGGGTCAAATGTGAGGTTTCTGTCCCACGTAACCCACGTTTAAAGGAATTTTCAGATTGTCTTTTCCCCTGCCTATTAAACACACAAAATTAAGCAGTCATGAAACTTACCTCAGGCAACCCTGAATGAACCAGATTTTTCATATTAGGGAGAGCCATTGAGACCGAATCATTATGTAAAGGTTTGGAAACATGCTAGGCCTGAAGAAAGTGACTTTGAGTTCATTGGAAAATTAAATGTGCTTTTAATTGATAAAATGAGTGGATAAAGTATTTTAAAATGAATATTTACAATCTCTTTCCCCCTCAACCCAATAGAGATTCATCCTGCAATGAAACCTAATGTAGTCAGGTCAATGCCAAGCCTTCAAAGTCCAGCTGTAAAACGAATGCTTGCAACTCCTAATCATTCATCCCGAAGTATATTGGGGAAAAGAAACTACAGTCATCACAATGGACTTGATGGTATGTAAAATTAAGATTTAGAAAAAAAAAGTATCTTTATGTGAACTATAAAATGTATTGGCTTATGTACTGAAAACTGAATATCCAAAATTTCAGTTAAGTATAAGATACAGTCTATGTTTCCTCCGGGCACCTGCCCAGCAGGTTATCAAGGGCCATGCACTTTAGATGTCCCTTGCCCCATGGCGGTGCTGCACCTGCCGTCTGCTTTGGAGCCCTTGGCTAGCTGCTCCTGGGAGTCTCCTGCTTGCTGTGTAGAGCAGGGTGTGAGATAGGGAGGTGTTGATGCCAGAGTGTCCCCCTGCACTATTTCTCCCTGTACCCCATCTACACAAAGTGACAGGACTCAGGAGTGCGACAGAGGGAGTTTGCTGGCAGCTACTTCTGTGTCTGAACAAGCAGACTTCAGAACTGAGTACTAATTTATTTAAAAGGGGCAATGTGTGTCTGTCACACACACACGTGTGCACACATACAATATCTTTCACACTCACCTCCCTGCACATATTTGTATTATAGTTGTTGTTACTTTTTGCTACTCCTTTCAAAGTGTATTATTTAAGTTTTTTGACTGCTCTATGCATTTTATAACTTTGATTTCTTTTGCTTAATTTTAATCAATGCCTATCCTGTGCTGCCTGGAGTAATTATGACAACTTTTAAAATACATATATTATATCTAGATTGTTTTGTTTGTAATGGTGGTGCACATCCACACATTACCTCAATATGGTGCATGTAACAAAATTCATTCTGCACGTAGATGGAAAAAATTAGAGGGAACACTGGAAAGTAAGTAGTATATTACATTAAGGAATGGATCATAAATCTCTAAATAAAGCAACAGACTACAAGCATAATAATTGTCATAAAGATGCAACATTATGAATGTTGCTACCCCGAGTAGTTAGCACATTTCAACAGCAATAGAGAATAAAACTCACTGGGTTTTATAGAATCTATTCATTCACAGGTTTGCTTTGAATGTGGCTCAGAGATGTACATTGGTACCAAAACTTGTGCAAGATATGTACTGTACTGCTACAAGAGCTGTTATTCTTCCTGCTAGTTTACCAACATGATTGTAATTATTGGATGAATACAATATATATAGTTTGGTTGAAATATTTGGCTCAAATTCTCTGAGTTGCATTTGCCAAGGAGGAAGGAAAAATAATGTCTAGCCATCTTGTGGCCCAATATTCTGGGACTCAGGACCAGTCCAGTCCCTGCTGTAAATTAGAACAGTTTATGCCTTATGGTACTATAAGCCTGGTTTCTAGTTGCTTTGCTTCATGATATCATGCAAAGCTGCCAGAGTGGCCTTGAAAACTGGGCAAACATGTTGTAAAGATTTGTGAGTAATTGTTAATGTGACTCAAAACCATATTAAAGTGTGCTTATACTCTGTAAAGTGACTTTGTTATGGTATCTCTCTGGTGCTTGCACTATCACCATTAGCCTACAAATTCTGCAATTGAAACATAATGAACAGTTCGATCTGATGTGCAAGTCAGACTGGAATCCAGATCATGCTTCTTTACCTGTGTTGGCTCTGTTTAGCTAGCAAGAGTGAAAAGTAATAGAACATATTTTATTGAGTAAAATAAGAAGATCTGACTGGATACAAATGAAGAACAGATCAGTGGAATAAAAAATCCATTTACTCAATTTTCCGTGTAATACCGCACCATATACTCTTGACCTAATAAACGTAAATCTTCAAATACCATAGATTACTGGCTGCTTGATATAAAAGATCATTCTGCAATTATATTCAGAAGCATGAAATTCTGCCCTCTCCAATACAGTGAATCCTCATTTGGTTTATCTGATCAAGGTAGTGAGGACAGGAATATGGAATTGGATTTATGGAATCACAAATAGAAAACATATGAAGACACTTATTCTTTGTGATTATTTTTTGCCTGAAACATGGCATATTGGAGGTGCAGGGGATTTTTTTTCCTAGAAAATGTAAATATTAGAAATTGAAGGAGTTGTTAGACTATTAAGTCTCCCTTCACCACTACACCCCTCCCTTCTGCCCTTCTCCCTGCCATCACAGAAGTAATTGGAGATGTATTTTATGGTCTATTGATAGGTTGTATTCTAACTTGGAGACCCATTCCAACTCCTATTAATCTGGGCAAATCCTGTTCTCCCATCTGTGATTACATATATTGTTTTGTCCATGCCATCTGATAGCTAGTAACATCCTGAAAATAAGTTCTAGTGGGAGCTATGTATAAACATGGGATTTCCCCCTGAATGTGCACTATAGATTTATCAAAGCTTCTCTTTGCCAAACATTAATGATATACATTATTATATGTTCACTCTTAAGTGAATATGGTGCTGCATAGGAGATTGATGGCACCAATATGGTCCCTGGCACAGACCATGACAAGACAGAATTTACGTAGAGAGGGATATGGCCAGTAGAGTTGTATATGTTTCATAGAATAGATGTTTCCTTAGATTTTATTTGGCAGTTTGCCAGGGAGGCTTCTCTGGAAATACGGGTTGCTGTAATGAACATCATCATGAGTTTTTATTAGTACAGTGACATTTGCTAAGTGACAACATTGAATGAAAAATTCATCCTATTTTTTTTACCCATTTACAAAGCACTGTCTTTAAAGAGTGGCTCTAGAGCAGTTATATGTAAGAGAAGAATTTGGACCTTAAGTCAGTGTGCAAACAGTCAAATCGTGCCACTACACAGTAAGCAGGTAACCTGATTGTTAAAACATGCCACCCAATGGGACAGGGCCACAACTCTGGGACTCTTATTATTATAAGGAGCATTTTGCATTCAAGAGAAGTGTATTGCACAGGCTATACTGAGGAAGGAAGTGATGATCTTGTATAAATCACTAGGTTGTCTCAGGATACCTGGAATTTATATTCCTGAGTCAGTCATAGATTCCCTGTGTGACAGTGAGCAAGACATTTATCTTGCTTGCCTCAGTTCCCATCTGTAAAATGAGGATATTGATACTTCCCTAAAACACAGAAATGCAATACATTTATTAATGTTGGTGAGCCAAGCTTTTCTGGCTCTTCTAACAGTTTGCAGTAGCTTTGTTTAAATATTACTCATTTACTTAGGGGAGGAAGCGATGATGTGAAGAAAACTGATTTCCTTAAGTGGATTGTATCAGATGAATGGTTTGCAATAGAAAGATTGTTTAATAGTTTATTAATGATTAATGGAGATTAATGGCGTTGCTACCAAGTTAAGCAACTGGACAGATTCTAGATAATGTTACCAGCACACTAGAAGGGGCAAGATATATAGATCTGAATCAAGAGTACTTCTGTGTGTTTTGGACAGTTATGGGGTCATAGCGTGGCTACTTTGGGTTGGATTTTCCTAGCATATTATCACTATTATTATGCAACCTAGGGATGTGCTTACAGACATAGGCTTTGTCTACATTACTGTGGCAAATCAATTTTACTTATGTAACTTCAGTTCTATGAATAACATAACTGAAGTTGACATTGTTAGATCCACTTACCATGGGGACTACGCTGCACTGTGTTGATGGAAGAAGATCTCCCATAGACTTTCCTTATGCTTCTTGAGGAGGTGGAGTACACAAATTGATGGGAGAGTGCTCACCCACCAATTTAGCTTGTTTTCACCCACTAAATTGACATTCGCTTCATTATTGCAGCAATGGTGATCTATCAGCAAGTGAAGACGCACTCTTACACAGAGATAAAAACCTATACAAAACAGTTTACAATCTAAAATCGATAGATAAACTTCTTGCAGTGTTCCAGATATTTCACTAATCTTGTATTTGACATATTTTCCATTCAGATGTCTTTTACTGGATCCTGACTGGTAGGTTTTAATGATGGAAGGGACTTTTATTATCATTTAGTCTGATTTTTTCCGTGACATAGAACATAGAATTTCACCCAGCAATGTCTTCATCAAGCTCATAACTTCTGTTAGAACTGTAGGTTATCTTCATTGATGATTAAGATAATGGCCTGGAGAGTAAATGTAATGAAATTTGCAGATGATACCAAGCTGGGAGAAGTTGCAAGTATTTTGGAGGACAGGATTAACATTCAAAATAATCTGCACAAACTGGAGAAATGATCTGAGGTAAATAGGATGAAATTGAATAAGGACAAATGCAACTAACTCTGTTTAGGAAAGAACAATCAGTTGTACACATACCAAATGGGAAATGATTGCCTAGGAAGGAGTGGTGCGAAAAGGAATCTGGGGGTCAGCATAAATCACAAGCTAAATATGAGTCAAGAGCAGAGTTCCCTCTCAGCTGCATGACCATGCAGCTGTCTAGTAAACTCCATGTAGGGGCTCAGGGCTGCCAATGACAGAACTGCTGCAGCCTTCCTCCCCCAGCCATGGCGGCTCTCTGCTGGGGCTGGAGGAGTGCACCACTCCTCTCCAGCTGCAGCAGCTCCCTACAGGGGCTGGAGGAGAGGCATGCTCCTCTGGCCCCAGAAGGAAGCTGCCACTTCTGGGAAAAGATGTTCTCCTCTGGTCCCAGCAATAGGACTGGATTAAGAAAGGAGTTTTGGGGCTCCTTTGCCCAGGGCCCTGAGTAGCAGCCTGTAAGGCCCCTTTATTCTGGGACAGCCCTCCCTGGCCAGGGGCAAGAAAGGAAGGCTGCTTCATGTACTAGCATGCTCCTCTGGCCCCAGAAGGAAGCTGCCACTTCTGGGAAAAGATGTTCTCCTCTGGTCCCAGCAATAGGACTGGATTAAGAAAGGAGTTTTGGGGCTCCTTTGCCCAGGGCCCTGAGTAGCAGCCTGTAAGGCCCCTTTATTCTGGGACAGCCCTCCCTGGCCAGGGGCAAGAAAGGAAGGCTGCTTCATGTACTACAATAACTGCAAATGCTGGGAAGATCTGTCCCCATACTATCCTTGTTTGGAGACTCCACACCCACAGCTCTCATTGGCTAGGAATTGCAGACTTTAGGGGCTGCTGGGGGCAGTGCCTGCAGGTGAGCACAGACCATGCAGAGCCATTCCTCTCACCAGGTGTTGCCCCAGCTAAGCACCCCAGTTCCCCTGGGTATTGATGGAAGAGAAAGTATTTCCTAATCACACAAGACAGTGATAGGCCACCTGTGGCCCACTGGACACATGCAGTCATAGGGGCTTCACCTGTAGCCCATGGACCCCCTGGCTGTCCCACTCCCCCACACGCCTCTTGCACTGGGGCACCAAAGCCCCATCACTTCCTACACTTCCCCCCTCCTTCCCAGCACTTTCAAAGGATCCGCAAGTTGCCAGCTTTGCACTCCATCCGTGCTCCTCCCTCTCCCTACCAGAGCTGGAATGCCGCAAATCAGCTGTTTGCAGGGTTCCAGCTCTGGGAAGGAGGGGGAGAATTGGGTGTGGAGTATGAATCGGGTGATTTACAGTGCTCTGAGGGTGCTTCTACACTGCACCCTTACTTCAAAATAAACTACACAATTGCACTCTGCAAATTGCATAGCTAATTTTGAAATAAAGTACTATTCTGAAAAGTCCCTTAACCCTTGTGGAATTAGGGTTACAGGGACACCGGAATAGCGCACCTGTTGTTTTGAAATATATTTTGAAATAATGGGTGGATTTAAAGACACGGATTAACTATTTCGGGATACTACATGAATGTATCCCAAAATAGCACCGCTGTCTAGACATAGCCTGAAAGTGCTGCGAGGATGGGGGAGGTTCACATAACTGTGGGGTTTCATTGCCCCAATGCGCAAGAGGTGCATGTGGAGGGGGTCAGATGATGGGGCCGTGGAGCTGCAGATGGAGCCCCAGTGGGCCGCATCCTACTTAGGTGAAGGAGGGCCGCCCACGCTATACGATATGAGTACATCATCCTGCTTCTTTTTAAATACAGATCAGTAACAAGGTGCATAATTAGAGAAGCTTGGGATGTGTGTCTGTTTTCCGTGTCATTGCAGCTGCAATATTATGCTATTTTTAAATAATAATATTATTTTTAATATTACAGCATATACCATACTAAATAATATCTTTGATTACAAAAGAGGATTTTGTTTTGTTAGTGTTATTGTAGGACATCAATTCACAATAGCCAGGAAATATACATTTGAAGTGGTTGATGTGTGTTCTGTTTTTTAACTTACACTTTAATGAAACAAATAAAACTGGGCACAGTTGCATATACTGTCTTACCTTTTAATATCTTGTCTCTTGGCATTTTCTTAACCTTAATATTACTGAAGCAAAGAAAAATCTCTGAATGTCCAGGTTTGCTTTCGTCATTTCTATTAGAAAAAATGTTTAAAGGAAGCCAGAAAAACAAGTTTACCCATCATATGAACAATTTATGGCTCTTAAGTAAACACTACGTATGCTTGTGTAAATACGTATTTACATGTGACATGTTTTAAGGCATTGCTTTTTTACATGGGTAGGTCCGCATGCTATTTTGGGGGTGTGCTTATTATTTAGCTAATAATGGATGTAGTAGCTCAAAGGTATAGGTGAAAACATGAAATTAGACTCATTTTTGAAAGCTGAGTTGGAGTTATAAGACCATCATCCCTCCCATTACTTAACATCTAAAGCCTTTATTGTTTTGGGTTTGGGGAGGAGAGTGAAAAGCTAGTGAAGGAAAGTTGTTGGAACTTAATATCATTTTTTAAGATGTAAGATGCTGGCTTGACGTAGCTCAACACTGAGATCCATTATTCAGTTGAATCTGAAATACTGGCAGATTCGTGAAAAGCTTCTCTACACTGCCACACATTGTTCATCTACGTTTTCTAGAGGGACTCGCTGGAGAGGTGTAACTACTCGTTGGTAGTTCAATCCTTGGGCAATGTTTGGTCTCTCTGCTGAGACTGCTAAGAAGGGAAGCAGTTAGCATCTTTTGGGATGATGATGTTTGTGATGAGGACATGTTCAATAGGAACTGGACTGTAATGTATGCGATCCAGATTTGAGCCATTAATCTACGCTCCATATCCTGTATAGAATGTAACTACATTGGAAGAAACAGCAGTGCTATTATGTCAAAAAAGTCAGGATGAAAACAAGTTATTTCAAGTACTGCACTAGGATGAGAGTAATTAAAGCAGAAAAATACCATTGACTCTGTCTCCTTGCAAGTGATAGCCAGATAGAGGATAGATGGGTATTTTATAGACAATATATTACTTCTGTGTCTTTCTACATGGACTGTAAAAGGTTTTTTTTTTGTATATGTGGGGGGTTTTCATGGATGATAGTGGCTCTTTCCACAAGTCAAAGAACAAGTAACTGAGTTGGTGTGGGCACAGTTCTCCTAAAGGTTTTTATGTCTTCTCAGCCATCCTAATAATCTGGCAGCTCATCTCTCATACAGAAACCAGCAGATTATCTAAGAAAAAGACAAGTCAGAGTAGTCAAGTCCAGCATGTCCTTGTAGAAATGACCAATGGAATGGAGAATTCAGAAGATTGGATAGTCTGAAAAATGCTCTGTTTTCCATGGAAGACTAACTCCTGAAGGCAACTGTCCCAATTTAAGGTCCCCAACTATAGTTGGTACCTTCATTTGGAAAAAGAATGGGAGCAAGTGGTTTGGAAGAACTTTAAGAAAACACCATGCACAAGAATTCTTATTTTAGGTTGAGCACTTGGAACTTTGAGAAAGAATGTTCCAAAAACAGAACTATATTCTTCCGTAGATTTCTGTGTTTTAAAGCCAATTCTCAGCCTTGTGAACAATACTACCACAATGATTTCAAAGGAGTCTATGTGTCTTTAATTTATTTTAAATAAAATTGTATACATTTGATTTTAAACACTTAAGGCTTTAAGCTTGCTTTATATTGTTGCTTGCACTTATCATTTTTAATTCTTCTGGATGAGTGCATTGTTTTCCCATATCCCGAACAAAATATTTCTGACTTATGTAATGTATTCTGCAGGATTACTTTTATTGCGAACTTCACTGTATATAATTACCAGGAAATTTAAGTTTTTCAGCTTTTTAGAGGAAACACTCAACATCATATACATAATCTTCATTCCTTCAATTCTTCATTCCGTATATACTCACTGGATGGCAGAAAAACCTGTCATCGATTATACACCTTTTGAAAACTTCCTCTAGATGCATGCTGCTGTTTTTATCTACTCTAGGAGATGCAATTGCTTTCACATCTTCTGATGCTATTGCTGCAAAACCCAAGACAACTTAGATTATTTAAAATATGTCTTGGTGGCTAAGAAGAGCAGTCTCACCCAAAGTAGAATTCTCTCTGCAGACATTTTGCAATATGCTTTTGCTGATCCTGATCAACAGAAATTGGAAAGATGCCAAGAAGATTCAGGTGTGTAACAAGACTCTGATGACTATTTTCTCCTGTGGTTACTATAAAAAAGACTCTCTGCATGTTTTGAATCTAACAATATTTTTTTTCATGCTATAGGATTCCAAGTCAATTTAGCAATCCCTTCACCCACCGGTTTAACTGTGAGCAAAAACATTTCAGGTTAATTGTAAGCTATGAAAATCCCTCATGATAGTGATGGTTTAATGATTACCGCTAATTATTTATATGATATTTTTAACTAAGATCTTTTGCAGTTTTCCCCCATCTACTGGCAGGAACTTCTCCACTTTGACATGGAACAGAGCCAGAGTGTCCCTCGGACATCTGGGATGTTATTGACAACTAACAAGCCAAGCAACCACTCTGTACCTGATGGACTTTGCATCACTATCTTGGCTTATGTGTAGAGAGAGAAAGTAGCAATGCCCATTTTCCAAATCACAACAGAATGTAACCACCAATCCTGACCCTAATTCTTTCTCCCTTTTCCAGAACGCTCATGCTGTATTTCAGACTGAGATGTCTTCTTTCCTTTCTTCCCATCAAGAGTTGCCTCAGCTCCTGGAGGAACAAATATTGGGGTATACTGCTGAGAATAAGGACTATGTCTGGGACACCCAGTGTACAGCCAGGTGGGAAGGTGACATGAGCAGTTGACAAAGCAAGGAAAAGGACAAACCACCGAACAATCTAACTCCAGTTTTTGATGACAGTCTAATCTCTCTCTCTCTTTTCTCCTCCATATCATTGACTATTTAGGCATAGAACTCATATAGGTATGAGTGGGGGAAGAAACAGACCTTTTATTGCTCCCTCTTTTTCTGCTGGAAGCTTGAAATACAATATGCCAAGTGCAGGAAAATGTAAACAGTGTCTCTCACTGGCAAAGTATTGAGAGACTAGAGACTTTCTTGTTCAAGTCTTTTTTGCTTCATGGAGAAACAATAAAAGTTGCATGTATCTGCTTCATCTTGACTCTTTGGATATATAATCATATGTGAAAATATGTATACCAGAAAGGTTTTTTTCATGGTACAGTTGAATTTCTTGTTTAGATATGTACTAGTGTATTTTATCTGTGGTGCAATCTCTCTCTGTCTTTTTTGTTTGCAGAAATCTCTCTGATATCCGACTCTCAGTTTTGTTTCTTAATAGGGATTTCACACATACTCCTGAGAGAGCATTATCTCATATGGAATGTATATCAGGAGCAGTCGTATAAAATTATTAATTTGAAGCCGAATTTGCTAGTATGTGCATTACTGTTGAAATGAGTATTTTATTAGCTTATGAATTTAGTGTTGTTCATTATTTACTACCAACATCTTTTTTTAACCTGTCAACTGGTCACTTTTGATATGTAAATTATTAAAACTAAATAAACAAGGAACTCCACAACACCTTTTTTGTCATCCATTTCACAGTGAATTCAGAATGTAAACCTGCCTGTGATTAACTTTACCTTCAGCATCAATCTTCCTCAAAAAGTGTGAAACAGAACTTATATGTCATGTTCTTGTTGGCTGTTTTCTCCCCTTTAAAACAAGTTTTTGGACATGATCATTCCATCTTCCTTGCTTCTGCCACATGCCTAGCTATGTGCCAGAATGTTTGGAGATATGTTTCTTTTTGTTATAAGTGCACATCTGCCATTGATGTGAATAGAGTTATGTGCGCATGGAGAGCAGAAAACCCATCTATTGGAATGAGGATATCATTTTGTAGCTTAAATAATGAAGCTTTCTTTGTTCCATTATTTAAACTTTCTGAGCTATATATGTCCTTGCTTTAGGCAAAATGGAGCCTTTAAATCAGTAGATCTCAATCAGAGGGATGTGTATCCTTGAAGGTATGCAGCAGTCCCCCAGGGGGTACATCAGTTCATATAGTTATTTGCCTAGATTTAAAAAAATCAACATAAAAACCCTAGTGAAGTCAGTGCAAACTGAAATGTCATACAATCAATGATATGTTTATATTGTTCTATATACGCTGTGGAGCCAATAGCCTCCACATGCCCCTCAGTAAGCTGAGTGTAGGGGTGGTTCTGTGCTTCCAGAAGGGCAGGGTTTCAGAAGAAAGGGTCAGGGCCAGGGGAAGCCAATCCTCCACAGCATGTGGAGCACAGTGCCCCGCCCTCTCAGTCCTTAGAGCTGCATGAAGTGTGCGGCACTGTAGCAGCGATCTAAAGGGCCCGGGATTCCTAACAGCGGTGGCAACCAGGAGTCCTTGACCCCTTTGAATCACTGGACCTCAGGCAACTGTCCCCTTCATTCCCCCCCTGTGATGGGTCTGTATATACTATACACTGAAATATAAGTGCAATGTTTACATTCCAATTGATTTATTTTGTAATTATATGTTAAAAATGAGAAAGTAAGCACTTTTGTGTTTTCACATCAGATTTTAAGTGAGGTATAACTTGAGGATATGCAAAACAAATCAGACTCCTGCAATGAGTCCACCCATGTGTAAAGGTTTAAAGCAGCGGTTCCCAACCTTTTCTAGGTGGGGACCCATTTTGACAATTCAGGAAGACTTGGTGACCCAAGGAATTCAACAATGGGGGGAGGAGAGGAGGCAGAGCCATCTGGGGAGACACTTGGCGACCCTTTTGAAATGTAATGGCGACTCATATTTGGGTCCCGACCCATAGGTTGGGAAACCTTGGTTTAGAGCCACTGCCTTAATTTATACTGGTTTTCCATATAGGTTTTTTTCAGTTCCTGTTGCTTTAGTGAGGGACATGTGTCATAGATTATTCCAAGTCTTCATGTGCAACATCTTTATTTACAAGCAGATTCCATGGTGATCAAGTTCAACAAAATAAATACTCACTTGTCAGTGTGCTAAGTACATTATCTTCCGTATCCACTTTGCTTCAAGTTCCAGCAACTGACAAAGAAATTTTGCTTTCACATTTTGGTCAGCACATTCCGGAAAAAAGTATCGGGAATATAGGTGTAAAACTTCCAGTACTTTTCCAATCAAACATCTGAGTTAAAGTTGTTTAAAATGCAAACTTCTCGGATTGCTTCACATCATCATCTGTACAAAGATGCACAACTGTCCCTGTCCCAAATATCTTGTATTCTTAAAAAGTTTGAAAATTTCTTACTACATGAGCTGACAAGTGGCATAGTAACTGTATATTTTAGTATTTTTCCAGGGTCTCATTTGAAAGGGATAGCTTAAATATTAATAGAATAAAGGAAAATACTCTGAAGCTTGGTGCACAGCATTTACCCTATACTCATTGTCATTGCCATAAGGGAGGACCTCTGACATCACAGTTCAGTGGCCAAATTATCTACTTCAAAGACAAAATTCAACTATCCTAATTTTAGTCATCCCAATGTGCCATCTCTGATCTCTTTTCTAGAACCAAGCTGCCTTGTGGAAGACCTGGGCAGCATTCTGCATAAGGAAAGTTGTTTTATATTATATCTCCTATTTTTCTATCTTTGTCTTGAAACATTTTTCTCACTACATCAGTGTTGCATGAAAACATGATCTTTTCCCCACAGTGTTAATTAACTCTTTGCTTATTCCCACTCTCCATCCCTGTTCCTCCAGCCCTGATGTTACAAATAGCATTACTACTTCAAGTAAAAACAATCAGCAAGAACCAAGATCCTGTTTTCATATTTCATCCATAGTAATAAAGACAAAAAAGAACCAAATTTCTCCATTAAGCATTAGCTTCTTTTAATTATAGAATTTTAGTTGAAAAACCAGGATTTTTGTAAACACTTTAATGTTCATAAATTTAGACTAGCTAATGAAATGATGTAAGTTGCTTGCATTGAAATGAGCAGCCAGCTTTTCCCATTGTTGATAGGTATCAGTTATTTACATACACGCAGACTTTACAGTATTTTGATTATGAGAAGAATCTTGTCTTCTCTGACTTATCTGTCTTACGAATGCTACTAATACAGAGTATGTTCTTAGGAAATTAAATTAAGGAGTTAATTTGTTTCCTGGGATGACTAGGCATTAGAAGCGTGAGATCAGGGGTCTAGATCTTGCAACCCCTTAGCCATGTGAGCTGCCCTTAAGTAAATAAGGATAATTCCCTAGCATAGATCCTGGAACTAAAGGTGCTGGGGGGTGCTGCCACACCCCCTGCCTTGAAGTGTTTTCCATCATATACTGGATTTCCGGTTTGGTTCAATGACTCTCAGAAAACCCACTATATATATTGTTCCAGCACCCCTGTTCTCTGGGATTATTCTAGCATATTACAGTACTTTAATTTTAGAGTATAATGCTGGTTGCTATCTTTTTGTTTTAGCCAATCTGTTTTTTGGGTATTTAATTCATCTTTTGGAGAAAGAGCTATTCCCATACATTCTGACATTCTGTATTACAATGTTAATACACCTGCCAAGTGAGAAAGATACTTAACTATGTTCTTTCCTGTGCTTTCACCAGCAATGATAGGACTTGAATTTTAGTACTGAAATAGTAGTATGTATTCTAGTAACTAGTGTACTAGTGCTGTGGTTTGTCGAGACATCCATTTAAAGGCAACAATACTGCTACTGCAGAACAGAATTAGGAAACTGGCAGATTGACATGTCTCATTCTTAATTAGAAACTGGAAATTGTATTTTTAAATGCACATGTGTGACACAAAATGCAAATATGTGAAGTATCTTTTTATGCTGCAAATGTGACTCTGGCAAATTAATCACCAGAAATCAAAGAGAATCATCACATGGATGATGAGGTTTCTAAATATAACATGATGATTAGTTACAGCAAAAACATGGTTTATACTTTAATATTATTATTACTTCTACTACTGAGAGAATGAATCTTAATAAAAATAAATTGTATTATATTATAATCCTCTACTCTGCTTTATATCTGGTGAAATAAATATATTCTCAGACCACTATACAGTAATAAACACTAGTCTACAACCAATTTATTTTCCATAACAAATTGCTTGATAACCAGAAACTCATTCCTGAAATAGCTGCTTTTAATTGGCATTGCTTTCAGGAAATAAAATTCTAGTGCATGTAATTTCAGTTATTAGTTACCTTAGTAGCATATGACTTGTGGATTATCATGTTTCCTGGGTTCTAGTTCTGGAGTTCCTGTTTGCAGTGCTTTCCTGTGTGCTAATGTCAAGTGGGTTGGATTATGTCTTCTAAACTACCCTTTCTGTTAATTAGCTCTCAACTTGCTAAAAATCACACTACCTTCAAAAACAAAATCAGACTGTGTAACTGGGGAGTACCTTCTGATGTTGAATTAATTGAATCAGATATTCCATGGGAAATGCTGAGCGATCATATTCTCTTTGTGTATGTGCTTATGCTTTTTGCTAGTCCAGTTTGTTACAGATGTCATACTATTTATGGGATTTAGAGTATGCTCCTTGCAAAATCAAATTTATTCCTGTTAATATGGTTGTCAGATTGGTGTAATATTTTACAAGTAACACTGAAGAGCACTCGCTCTACTGACTCACAAGGTGTATTCATAGGTGTCTGGTAGTCTAGGCAGGGGAAGGCTATGTCTTCCCAAACCGCCAGGCATGGCCACGCCCACACTCTGCCTCCAGAATGCCTATGTAGGCATTG